TTTCCTAACCTTTTCTAAGGAAGGGAATTGAACTCATATCAAGATTTTGTATTTTGAGGATTTGGCAGTGAGAAATTTTAGTCAATATAATATAGTGTATGTGTGACTTGAGAAATTACAATGGTAAGAATCCAACTCATAACGTATATCTAAACTGAAGCTTAAAATTCAGAGGTTTGAATATTTTATTTGTAAGGTATTGTTTTTATGGAAAAAGTTTGACAGATCTTTGTAAATATAATGGAAATCACTTTGATCTACAATGATAGGTAGGTAGTTTTAATAGAGTTTTTATGACTTCAGATTAAGTTTTTGGTTAACTTGCACATATATTATTATTTTCTCCATTGATGTTTTATTCCATTGCTGTTAAAATTAAAAAGAACTAAAAAGCAAATATATTTGTGAGTGTTTTATGCAATCACTTACTAAATGAAGAAATTGCATTTCAGGCAACCCTCTGCTTATTGAAAATTATCCAATACAAACGATAGCCCTGGTTGTAAAGACCACATATTGTGTTTTTTAGTATGATGATATGTTTATAATCACATCAAGTCCATTGCTTATGATATTTTGGCTCACAGACTAACTTGTGAAAAGTTACAAGCTAATTACAGTTGACCCTTGAACAACACAGGTTTGAACTGCATGGGTCCACTTACACATAGATTTTCTTCTACCTCTGCGGTCCCTGAGACAGCGAGCCCAACCCATTCTTTTCCTCCTCCTACTCAGTCTATTCAACATGAAGATGATGAAGATGAAGATTTTTATAATAATCCACTTTCACTTAGCAAATAGAGAGAAAATAGTAAATGTCTTTTCTCTATGATTTCATTAATGATATTTTCCTTTATCTGGCTTACTTTATTATGGGAATACAGTATATAATATATATGAAATACAAAACGTTGTTTGTGTTATGGGTAAGGATTTCGTTCAACAATAGGACTATTAGTAGTTAAGTTTTGGGGGAGTCAAAACTTATACTCAAATTTTCTGCTGTGTGGGCATCAGTGCCCCTACCCCCACATTGTTGAAGGGTCAACTGTACTTGAATTTCCTAACAACATGTTTTGATTATATAGAAAGAGTGCTGATTTTCAGAGAATAAAAGTAACTTAAGCAAAAAAAAAAAAAAATACTACTGAACTTTACAGGGGTTCTATGGGGAAATAATAAAACTGTTCTAAGCTCTCCCTTGCTTAAATTATTTCTCTGTTAGCCAATTTTTGCTATATTCTATTGTGATAATAAATAGCTCAAAATCTCAATAGCTTAAAACATCAAAGACTTACTTTTTGTTTCTGCTACATACTGTTACATGTATTGGTTTTGTTTTGTTTTGTTTTGTTTTTTGAGGTGGAGTCTCGCTCTGTTGCCCAGGCTGGAGTGCAGTGGCGTGATCTCAGCTCACTGCAAGCTTTGCCTCCTGGGTTCATGCCATTCTGCTGCCTCAGCCTTCCGAGTGGCTGGGACTACAGGTGCCCGCCACCATGCCTGGCTAATATTTTTGTATTTTTAGTAGAGACGGGGTTTCACCGTGTTAGCCAGGATGGTCTTGATCTCCTGACCTCGTGATCTGCCCACCTCAGCCTCCCAAAGTGCTGGGATTACAGGTGTAAGCCACCGCGCCAGGCTGCTGTTACATGTATTACATGTTCTGTTACATGTTAAGCTCTGCTTCATATACCTAAGTTTTTTTTTTTGTCACCCATCTAAAGTAGTAGCCCGTATTTTAGTTTCAAAGCAAACAAAATAAGAGAAATAGCCTGTATTATTTCATTTTCACGCTGCAAATAGAGACATACTCAAGACTGGGTAATTCATAAAGGAAAGAGCTTTAATTGACAATTGACTGACAGCATGGCTTGGGAGGCCTCAGGAAACTTACAATCATGGTATAAGGGGAAGCAAACATGTCCTTCACATTGTGGCAGCAAGGAGAAGTGCAGAGCAAAAGGAGGAAAAGCCCTTTATAAAACCATCAGATCACATGACAACTCACTCACTATCATGAGAACAAGATGGAGGAACAGTCCTTCTGCTGAAAATGACTCTCTGCTATTGAAAGTGCCCCAGGCCAGGCTGGGTGCGGTGGCTCACTCCTGTAATTCCAGCAGTTTGGGAGGCCAAGGCCAGAGAATCACTTGAGCTCAGAAATTCAAGACCACCCTGGGCAACATGCTGAGACTCTGTCTCTACAAAAAAAAATTTAAAAATGAGCTGGGCATTGTGGTGCACTCCTGTGGTCCTAGCTACTCAGGAGGCTGGAGTAGAAGAATTGCTTGAGTCTGGCAGGTTGAGGCTATGGTGAGCTATGATTGTATCACTGTTCTCCAGGCTAGATAACAGAACAAGACCCTATCTCTAAATAAATAAATAAGAAAAAAAAGGAAAGAAAGTGCATCAATGATCTGGCTAGAAAACAAAGAATTATCAGAGGCCAAAGTAAAAGGTAAATTAAAGTGGGAACCTAGTATGGTGAGCAGAGTTCATATTCTGAGGGTGCTGCTAAACCAAAACCAACTTTCCCAGATTTTTAGGGTGTCATCGGGGGACAGGCAGAGGAAAGAGTCTAGTCCAACCTGGTAGAGCTCAGCATAGGGAGCACCACAAAGAATCCACTTTCAGGAAAGGATGACATAGTCCCCTGAAGACTGAGAAAAGAAAGTTGCCTATTTTGACATTTCCCAGTGGAGGGGAAACAGATATTTCTGAAGAATCGGTAATCACTTCTTCATCAAGTTTGTAGGAATAGTTCACACTGATTGGCTTAACTAGCAAACCTCTTATTCCTCATGCTTCAATATGGTCTGTCTATTCTCTGGTTCTAGGGTTTGTCTTCATTATTCTACTCTAAATCCCATAGTATGTCCTCATTCTTGCTTTACTCCCTCGTTTTGCTGAATTGTATCTTTCAATAATTTTCTAAGAACCGATCATTGAAAGGATATATGCCCATCTTTGTTGGGCAAATACGACTGCTGTTTGTTTACTGAAGTCCATTTCCTCTTCTTTCTAGGTATATGGTTATAATTCTCATCTTCCATGTAGCTCAATTATGACCAATGGAATGTACAAAGTGATATGCCACTTCCAGACCTGGCTTGTAGAAACCTCTCATGTGTGGCCCCTCAAGTTTGTTCCCCCTCTGTGTCCTCTGTGTACTTGTTGGAGGTGGCAGTGCCTTTTTGGCCTGAGTTCCCTGAGTGACCACGTGAAAAGCGACATCTAGTAGCATGGATTGATACCATGGTCCATTAGAAGAGCAAGAAATAATCTTCAAATACACACACACACACACATTTGTTTACATATGTATATATACACATTATAATAGTATTCCTTTATTTTAGCATATGCTGCTATCCTACTAATGTTATATACTTTGCATGCTTGCAAATATCTTTATCTTTACATTTCAGCAATATATTATACAGAATTTTAGTTTAAAAATATTTTTTCCTTAGAATGTTGAAGACCTGACTACATTGTCTTCTAGGATCCAGCATTGCTGTTGAGGGGTCTGATGTTATTTGATTTCTGTTCTTCCTTTGGAGACTACTTTCTTTCTTCTGAGAGCTTTTCTTGTAGAACATCCAATTCTGAAATTTCAAGGTGGTGTCATTTGGGTTCATCTTTTTATTTTATTCACTTTTTTGGGTACTTAGGGAGCTAGTCAAATTTAAGGGCTTATGTCTTTTAGCTTTAAAATTATTTATTGGATTTTATATGTGATAATTCTCTCCCCTTTATTTTCTCTGATCTCTTACTAGAAGTATTACTCTAAAGATATTGGAAATGTTTATTACTTTTTCTTTTATATTTTCCATATTTTTAACTTTTTGTTTTACCTTCTGTGAGGTTTCCTTGAATTTTTATTGTAAATATAATTTTCTATATCAAGATTCATATTTGGTAAGTTTCTAAAGTCATTATTTTTTTCCTATTCTATTTTCCAAGCATCCTTCTCCTCCTATTATTGCCCTGGTAGACTAATACAATTTGAAACACATTTACTGTTCTTTTAGCAGGGGTTTGGTAGAAGAAATAAATCTGTAATCCATCTGATATATTTGGTAAGGAGATTTTTATGAACAAAGTATAAGGTAAAATACAACTAGAAATTGGTTATCACTGAAGCCTAGTGATGTTATGTTTACAATGAGGTAATTTCAGTATTTATATTGCTTAGTGCCACTCACCCAGAGAGCTCCAGGGCTATGGGAAGAGCCACAGTAAAGCTGTGGACAGTTTCTCTTTGTGTTATCTAAGACATCCGGTGTCAGGCCCTTCATGAGTAACATTAGTTATACATAATAACCTGTATTAAGTTCAGAGAACCAAGCAGCAGTATGCCTGGCTTTTAAAACTACAGGCTGTAAAGTGATGAAGAACTTAGTTCAAATCCTGCTCTGGTATTTCCTAACAGTCAGACTTTGGTTACGTTTCTTAATTTCTCTGAGCTTCTGAATTCTCATCTGAAACATGGAGATTAATTATTGTCCCTACTTCCTAGGCCTGTTGTGAGGATTAGTTGAGATAATGTATGTGATATAGTTAGCACAGTGTCAGGTATAGGAGGTTCTGAATGAACGACAGCTATTATTATTTTAATGGTACATAATTACACATGAACACAAGCTGTAACATTCCACAAATTGGGATCATCTAGAATGAATTAAGATATGCATGTACTCTTGAAATGAAGAAATATAGTAACTATATAAGATATTACTTGCTTACAATAAGTATTTAATTTGTAGTGAAAGAATTCACCAGAAAATAAGAGGCTTGAAAGATTTACTCAAATTTATAGGTGTGCCAAAGGTGCTGGAGAGAAGCTGAAAGACCCTTTGCTGATACATATAATTTATATAATGTGAAGGCTTAAACCTATTGTAAATAAATAATAAGTTTTGATAAATCATTTTTATTTGATTCCTTCTTATTTTAATTTCTATTAAACCTGGTTTCATTTTTTTTATTCACAGAAGTAAGCAAACATTTTCCTCTAATTTAGATTCTTTAAACAAAAGTTGCAAATGAATGTGGCCTTCATCTATTGTAAAATTAAAAGTAGGTAATTCATTATATTAACACTCTTCTTCTCCTAGTATAACAAAAATAGAAGGATGTATTATATTATAATTATAGTTTAATAACCTTTTTCTCCACTTTAATCTCACATCAAAATAAATAAAATATTTTAAAACACTTTTTTAAGCACAAAAGAAGAGAAAATATAGAATTCAGTTTATTACCCTGAATAAACTATGTCCCCACAATTGGAGCCATGCCAGGGATGAATATTTTTAAATGTTTCTTCTAGAAGAGGCTATTTTGAAGCCTTGAGTGTTGTGTAGGCATCTAGAAGCAACAGAACTCAACTACAACAAATGAAGCCTTTATTATATGTGTGTATGTGTGTGTTTGTGTAGGTGTGTAAAGCTTACACTTTTAATTCCTCAGTAATATTTAATTGTATGAATATAAAACATTTTGTTTATTCTTTCATTGGTTGATAGACATTTGAATTGTTTTCACTTTTTGGGTATTATGAATAATGTGAATAATGGTGCTATGAACCTCCAGGTACAGTTCTTTGTGAGGAAATGCGTTTTTATTCCCCTTGGGTAAATATATTGAAGTATAACTACTAAAATATATTGAAGTATAACTACTCATAGAGTAGGTATAGATACCACTTACTAAAAACTTGTCAAATTGTTTCCTAAAGTTCTTAAATTTTCACCCTACCAGTGATGTCTGAGAATTGCAGATCTACCGCATCCTCCTCAACATTTGGTGTTGTCAACACTTTTCGTTGTAGCCATTCTAGTGATGGGAAAGGGAATCTCTTTCTGGTTTTGGTTTGCATGTCCATCATTACTAATTATGTTGAGAACTTTTCATGTATTAACCATTGATATATCTTCTTTTGGATGCCAATTCTTTTGTCCATTTGTAATTGATTATTTGTGGTTTGGTTAATTATGTGCGAGAGTTCTTTACTTATATGTAAAGATTATAGACATATAATTTGAGAATACTTTCTCCGAGTCTATGTATTGCCATTTATATTTTTATGGAGTGTTTTTTAGCTAATTTTAGTTAATTTTGATGAGGTAATGTTTTCTAGTTGAATTTTAATTTTGATGAGGTCCATGTATCTCTTTTTATGTTAATATGTTACTATTTTATGTTAATTTTATGTTACTACATGTCTTTTTAAAGAAATCCTTGCCAAACATAAGGTTACTAAAGTGTTTCACTACATTTTCTTCTAGAAGTTTTATAATTTTAGCTCTCGTATTTAGGACTGTGATACATTTCAAATTAATATGTGTATATGGTGTCAAATAAGGATTGAAATTCATGTTATCCAGTTATTCCAATAACATTTGTTGAAACAATTTTCCTTTCCCCATTGCATTTAACTTACATTTTTGTCAAAAATTAACTGCCTGTGTATATTTTGGTCTATTTCATTTAATTTTTGTCTGTCTTATGTCAATATCACATTGTCTTGATGCTGTAACTATAAAAGTAATTTGGAAAACAGGCATTGTGAATCATTCAAGTTTGTTCTTTTTAAATATAGTTACAGCTATTCTAGGTCTTTTGCTTTTTTATAACAATTTTAAAATTAATTTCTCAATTTCTTTAAAAACATACCTGTTGGGATTACATTGCATCTATGGATTAATTCAGGAAGAATAGATGTGTTAACATTATTGAATCTTGTACTCTTTGAACATGACATATTGCATTTATATAGGCCTCCTTTAATTTCTCTCTGTTTTTTATTGTAGAGGTCTTTCATATCTTTTGTTAATGTTATTTTTAAGTATTTTATGGTTTTGATGTTATAAGTAGTCTTGCTTTGGAAATTTAATTTTCCAATATTTTTTTCTAATAACGTGTAGAAATAAAAGTGATTTTTAAATACTGATTTTTAATTTTGTCACATTTTGAAGTTCTCCTGAGTAGTTGTATTGAGGATTCCTTAGGATACTCTGTATTGTCTGTGAATAGAGGCAATTTACTTCTTCCATTTCATTCTCTATGCATATTATTTCTTCTTCTTGCCTTATTGCACCCTCTAGGACATCACTGGTGAAAGCAGGCCATGCCAATCTGATCCTCAAAATCCTTGAATGAACCTTTATAAAACTTAGAAAAGAATCCAAAGTCCTTGCCTTAGTCCACCAGATCTGGTCCTAGTTCCCCTTTTCTGTCTAATACCACCAGTGGTACCGTCTAGTGAGTCTGGCCTTTCGGATTCAGAAGGAGCCACACTTCCTGCTGCTACAGGGCCTTTTCTTAGGTTTTTCTCTGTGCCACCAACTCTTGGGCTGTTTGGCACTCCCTCATCTCTTCTGAGATGCCCAGAGCTATTGCCCTGACCACCCTATCTAAAGCAGAGAGACTATAGTTTCTGCAGAACTTGTATCTCGATTTGTAAGTATAGATTTACTTTCTTGTATAACTGGTGCACTGAACCAGCAGAAAGCATCTTGTTTCCTACAGTCCCTTTGATTTGCTAATTTTCTTTTGCTTCTGGACAAAAAAATGGACAGCATCCATATCTCTTAAATGATAAAAAGGACCTGTGATGATCATGTTAAGGCACAAAACACAGACTAAACTTGGTACCATCAGCTCTCCTTACACACAACCCTCATGCCTCCCCTTCACCTGCCTGCTGTGGCTCCTGACCCCAACAGAAATGAGGCTGATGGTTGTGCTGGGAAGGGAGGAAGGATGAAAGACAAGGCAGCAGTGTAGTCTTCGCTGGCTGGTACTGGGACAAGAGAACTTCATAGTTTCTGGGCCTGGAAGAGGTTTAAAGCTGACTCTTTCTTGGGCTCTTTATTTTTCTATTTTTCAGGGTCTTCCTCTAGGGACATTCCCTGAAAAGTCAGGATTAGAGGGAGGAAAGTGAGGCAGGGATATGTAAGTCCAGGGTTGAGTACTGTCTTAAAGAAATAATATTTTGTTCATCATAAATTCTTTGGCATTAATTCTGATTTTTTTTTGAAATAGTGCATTAAAATTTTACTTATCTTGGTTACTGAAATTTTGCTTTTTGGGTGCTCCTTAAATTTTGTGCCTGAGATGAGTATTTTATTCACATCACCTAGTCACAACCTTGTACTTCCTGTGACATAGGAGATTCATTTTTTCTCTTGCTAGTCACACATACTTCAGCTCCTCCTTCTTTTTTCTACAGCACATAAAATATACCTTTGGGTTCCTGTCAACCTCCTAGATTGTACTCTAAGGTAGAATTTAAAACAGCTCCGGGACAGCTCTCGCACCTTCTGTGTGCATCTGGTGCACTGAAGTCTCAGTTTCCTTTACTGGACAACTTCTGGAAGAACAGACCAATCTGAATATAGAATCAACTCTTCTTTGTTCTGTTATAGAAACAGCTGGCTGGCCTGTTTCTGCAATTTGGTTTTCTAGGTTGTAGTTAGACATCAGTTCATTGTATCTGAAGGACTAAGATAAGGGGCAGCCACACTCAAATGCTCACTTTTTTTTTTTTTTTTTTGTCTGGGGAACTCATTGCATAACATTATTTGAAGGAACCCTTCCAACAAAGCCTTTTCCAGTCTCCAACATGGTAGTTTTCACTGTGGATGAATGGTTTTAAGGGTGAGGAAACTTTTGCTGAATCACTTATGTTTTTATTAAGAGATGCTTTATTCATTAGTCATCAGGAAAATGAAAATCAAAACAACAATTACATACATTTTAAACTCATAACATGGGCAGAATTTAAGTCTTGCAATATGAAGTGTGGGCACAGATTAATATAACTCTTCTAAGTTGTTGGTAGAAGTATAAGTTGGTACAAGCATTTTGGAGAATGATTTGGCAATATGTTGTAAATTAGAATGTGTTCATGCCAAGCAATTCCATTCCTGTGGATGTGTCTTAGAAAACTCCTTGTGTATGTGCACTTGTATATTTGCACAGAGAAACAAGTATAACAATGGTACAAGAATATTCTTTGTAACATCATTTGTTAAAGGAAGAAATTAGAAAAAATATTGCCCATTAACAGAATGGCTAAATTAATCATAGCCTAGTCATCATGCAATTCTGAGGCTGGCGTGTGGTATGAGCTCAAGAAATTTTAGTCTTATACTCCCCACTTAGCATCAACATACGGCTACATCATTTATTAATTCCGCTTGTGATCTAATACATCCTGTGAAATGCAGCATTTAATATACTTTGGTATTGTGGTTAAAATTCCAATGTGATACCCAGTTTCTCTGCCTCTCCATTGAACCATAAACTTCATGAAGGCAGAGATCATTTCTGTTTTGATCACCCTTCTATCTCCTGCACCCAGCACATTGCCTGGAAAATTTCAGAGGCTTCATAAAATTTTGTTGATGGAACAATTGAGTAAATGTATGAACTCTTTTTCCATAACTATTGTAAAGCATATCCGAAAATAACAAGCTATTTAATGTATTTTATTATTTTGTAACAACATAAATTCTCACTTTGTAATACTGATGAAGAGTTAGGAATACAGAGTGGATCGTGAAAGACATTGGGAAAAAGTAAAATGCATGTGATTCAGCAAAGATCAGTAAGAAATGTTCAATGAAATGAAGTCTTGCTTATATTCTCCAAGTCAGAACATGAAACGCTTTAGAAAATAGCATGGAAGTGGCTAGTGGCAGGTTTTTGCTATATTCTGTAATAGCCTCTGCACCTCTCTATCCTGAAACGATAAACCTTATTCTCTGTGGATTTACCTGGATGAAAACCAATCAGGCAACTGTACAAATACTACAAACACCTGCACATCAGAAAAATTTAACGGTGCCAGCACCAAATAGTTCTTTTAGTTTATCTCAAAGAATGTTCCCAGCTAATCCTCTCTTGGGGACATAGATAAACACTCTGAAGCTAATACAGTCTTAACATAAATTAAAAATAATGCAGAAAAGACATTTTAGAGAATACAGTATTTTGTTACCTTTGGATTTCTATTCCCATTTTGTGAGTCTCATTGTTGAAAAGAAAACATTTTCATATTATTGTTCTGA